CCGTTACGACCGTGTTTAATCTGTGGACGGCCGAATCATCGGACAATTAATTGTTGGCATAAAAAACATAATGGTTGCTTTAAATGTGGGCTATCGGACCATCGGGTTTACAGTTGTCCACAAAACCATTTAAACGAGTAGCGGGGGCACCTGATGGCGGTGTCCCCATGAAAAAACAGCAGCCATCATCGTCAGCGTGTCCAGTTATTATCAAAGTTCGTATTAATAACACGCCGCAAACAGCCATTGTCGATACGGGCGCCGCCACAACAAGTAGCACAGTGGAACCATGCTAAACTATAAAATGTTATATTAAGAGTATGAGTAATACATGACTAATATTGTTTAGTAATATTTTATATGTTAGTATTACAAATAACACTAAATATTAAACAACATATATATGGCGACTCTTCGATTTTGAAATAAACAGTATAACATCAAGTACGATACAAAACTCAGCCAATTTTACACAAGTGAGGCACCTGTCATAGAAACTCTTCAACACAGACAAACTGGTGTAGTTTTACTTCTAATACAGTAGAAATTATCAGAAGTTGTTCTCTATCTATTTTCCAGTCGAATACTACATCTCTCGATCAGCGTCCTCACGACGTTTTATTTCGCGATTAATTAGATCTTGTTGAACGTGGGAAGGTAAACCAGAATTGAGACTCAGTGCATATGGTAAAATCATTTGGGGTAGTTCAGCAAAATCTACAATGATTTTAATAAATATTGCATCGTCTCGGACATAGTTATTACCGTCCTGCTGAATTATCGACAGTGGAAAGAACTTTGGTATGCCAAACGCAATATTCATTTCAGATTGTGGCCGTTGAAAACTATAGGACTTTGTGTCTGGACAAAATGAGTCAATGACATTTTTATTCTGACCAGATTGATCATATAAGCAAAATATGACCTTGTAATTAAATGGCCATTTGAGAACCGCATCATGATCACCTTTCAAAAGCACGAAGAAGAGTGACATGTGTGTTCCTTTTGCATTTCCATCACCCTGTAAATATAATCGTGCTCGCATCTTGTAACCTATTGATGAAGAATAGAAGGGCGGAGAATAAATCGATGTTTGTCTTTCCGACTGAGAGTCTGCAATTTTATGCGAGACGTCGGTTACTTTCCATATCAGCATACCGTCATACGAAGTAAATTCTATCAGTTCTACTTTTTGTTTTATACTTAACGTTTCTTGCTGGAGGATCTTGCTATTAGATGCTATTTCAGCTAAATACGTATCTACTTCGTTGATCGACTGTTTAATTTGACTCGATTCATCTTGAGCTGCTTGTATTGTTAATGTATCATAACATTTTTCTAACTCAGCACCTTTACCAGTTAATCCAGATGATGTAGATGCAGATTCGAAAGTTTCATAATTAAAGGATAAATCATGTTCCATATTTCTTGAAGCAGCATGTGCAGTTGTTTTGTTTAAAGTAGTCATTAATCGTTGTAAATTTTCACAAAACACCAGTAAACTTCTTTGATGTTGCTCGCTTTGCAGATGCATGCCAAATTCGTTTCTCATAACCTGAAATATCAAATTTTAATCTATTAGAGTTTGTCTAGGAACATTAGTCTAAATTTTACTTTTTCATGACATCCAAGATTGAACATTGGACATTGTATCGGTATTTTCATACATAATGTCGTTTTATGCTCATATAATCGATTCGATGCTGAAAAGTTTTCATTACAAAACTCGCAGATGCACGTGGCATGACATTTGTTTAAATGAGGCTGAAAATTGATGA